GTGGCCCTGCTGAAGATTTACAGTCTGAAACTGCTACACTCCACACAGACAGCTTGTGAAAGCTGGCCAGGTGTCTAGTGTATTTTAATAAGGACTATCATTCCTTCAGGCTCAAGAAAGCACGCTGGAGAAAACCAGCCTTTGGCACAGTGCTTTCTCTCCGCCGTGCACTTCACTGAGTCCGACCTTTACCCACTGTTCACACAGCCAACGTCAGGGCGAAACGAGGGCAGACTAATTACTTTCCAATCAATCTCGCTCCCGAAGAGGAAAGCGATAAAGCAGCCCCCGTGAGAAACAAAATGAATTCCCCAACAGCCCAGGGTTCTTTCGACGCCCTTCCCAGGATGCCTTATGGCTTTGTCATTTTCTTATGGCCTGCAACATCTTCACAAAGAGGGGAAAAAAAAAAGCTCCAGTCTCTTTATCCCGCCTTTTGTTCAATGTCTCCTTGGGTCAAGGGATACGTTCTGAAATAAAATTCAAAACCGACGTGCATTTTAAGTGCTTGACTAGGCCTTCTTTAATTGGAAATCATTCTGCAAGATGAAAATCTTAACACTCAGCATCAAGAGGACAAGTTTTGTATGGTAATCAGATCAGAAATACCAAAGGTGAGTGGAGTTCACTAGGCCCATCTTGATCAGTTGGCTCTGTTTCTAGACTGGTTGGACCGGGAACAAGTATGATGTCCAATCTGAACCTCCACAGGAGTGCAACAGTGCAGCGTAGGGCAGGCCAATCAAAACCAGCCTGCAGGTCTTGTGGAGAAGCAGGGAAAAGATTCAGATTCCACACAGACGTCCTACACTTGCTGCCTCAAGCAAGAATCGAACTTGGACCCAGGACAATACACAGCACTCCAAGGATGGCTCTCACTCCTACAGAAGACATTCTGGTTTCCATGCAGAAGGTAAGGGAGGGTTCATGGTATTTCAGTGTACTAATACAAAGACTTCAAATAAATCATGAATGTTTGTTGAGGCATACCGTGTTAAAAGCAGAGTAAACCATAGGACAATATGGAAAACATTGGGTTGGAAGAGCATTTAACAAACCACAGCAGACTAGAGCAGAACGCATAAGATATTGTCACGGTCAGCATCCCCTCCCCCAGAGGGCGCTCTAACCCTCTCTTGACGGTTCCTTTAATTATTACCTGTGTTATTTCCTGGTGCGCCTAGTTTTCTTCTCCCTATTTAAGTTTACTTCCTCCTTCCTTCGGGGCTCAGCAGCCTTGGAACATGGTTGCTTGATGGCCCACCTACTACTAGGCTTCAGGGGAAGCCTGAGGGCATAGGCCTGTTGTAGCTACATAGGCCTACTGAGCCCGCGGCACGGAGCGAAGCCCCATATTCCTTGGATTCTTGTTCTTCGTGTGTTTGCGTCTATGTTCCTCTCCAGATGGAGTTCCCTGCACTGGACCTACCGACTGTTTCCCGATTCCCTTTAGTCCCGCATGGATTTAGTTGCTTTTGGATACCTACCCTTCACTTTTGCACGGAATGTTATCACAGCGAGCACTAAAAAACCTTGTGTGTCTTCCCTGAAGTCCGCTTCTGGTTATTTTCCGGATTAGCCGCCTCGCATAGGGTCTTAACTACACTTTCCAGGGTAGGCTGACCCGGCATCTGTAAGGGATATATTGGAGCCAGATTTATCATAGCAAATTTCAAAGGCCAAATGGTGAAGTATAAAATACCCTTATACCCTTAACATCTATGCTTGCTTCTGTCCTAATGCGTATCTTGTTAGAGGTCCAATAAAGCTAACTTGTGGAACCTCAGAAAAACAAATGTAAAAATCTTTATATATTTTGACCTAGTCGCATAATTCTTTTGGAAAAAAAAAGTTGGCTCTGAAAGTTTTGCTTCAGAGAAGCTTTGTGAGGCACCAGAAGTGTGTATTTTTCAGAAATTATGCTTGGCCTCTCTGTCTCTTCAGATGACTGTGCTTAAACAGTCTGTCTCTCTGATGCTGTTTGCATGCTATTTCTGTAATGAATTAAATCTTTGACTGGGATTTGAAATGTACAGTTGTGTGCGCACACAAACTCCAATTATTGCTGGGGCTGCTAGTTCAGCAGGTATCCCCAGGCCTCAGGAATATAGAGAATAAACACATTGCGGTATTCCCTGGGTAAATACTCTGCAATATAATTTCATCTACCTTTGGCACAAGCCTGCACACGTCACTTTTAAATCAAAGATTAAGATACCATCTATAAATATGTACACTCTTTTTTAAAACAGCATACATTTAGCTATGGTGTTCATACTCTAATCCCATTTGTACTAGTCTTCTTGGTCTTTTGAGATGTGCCTTTAAAATACGTTATGAATATTTTAAATGTAATGCGCCAACTAAGAAAATCAATGCTGTGTACGCAAAATGCTCCCCGTGTGTAATAAATCTAGAAACTGCAAACACATGTCAATGTAAGAACACAAAATGACTGCTAATTTGTTTCTGGCCATTCTTTAATGAAAGCGGTCATGTTATGTATTTTTAAAGATGTACTTTACTTTACTTTTTTTGTCATTACAGGAGGGGTACCTGTCAGCTTTCAGAAGCCAGGCAAGACTGGTCCTGTTCAGTCCTGGAATGGGAGTCTTGTAATAAACATTAGGTTGGACTGTATGTGGTACTGTAAGTTGGTGGACCAGTAGGTGGTGCTCTGTCCCCTGGACCAGAATTTCTAAATAAATTCTCCAGTAAGGTAATCAGGGACACTGTGTACAGACACTGCTGTCTTATAGATGAGATTTTAAATTTAGGTCCTGACTATGTAGTTATTTAAAATTCTGCTGCACTAACAGACCTGTTAACCTTAGTGTCCTGGACAAATTTGACTCTGGGCTTGTAAAACCTGGCCGCCCTAATACCCTCTCTTAGTTAAATGGATAAAGATTTTTTTCACTTTTCCACTTGATCTGCTATGCATTGGGGATGCTCACACACCATGTTGCCAAATATCATCATACTGACTAAAGTACTTTAGGAATTTCTTGGGATGAGAAGAGCTTATTATATTAGTTGTTATTATAAGATACAGAGGGTTCAACACCCACAAGTAAAATAATGTTCATTGAATTAAAAGTGCACTAATTTGAATAAAAGGCATGCGTTACAAAATGAAGAAATAAAATATAACAAAGAGGGGAAAAGGGAATTGAAAGTACTATTTTTAAACCCAGATGTTTTGCAATACTGAATGAATTCCTTTTTTCATTTCAAATCCAGCTGCCAAAGCTACTGCCTCATACAGTTTTGCATTGCTTTATTTTCGTTACCATGAAAGTGCCGTAGTTGTCATTAGCCGTGTTTCTTTTAAATAATGGGGGAAATGTCTCCCCCTTGTGGAACATATAAAGACTACAAGCTTCCTGGAGTTTTCTTAATCATAGGAAGGAGTTGTGTGCCCTCTCTCCGTCAAATAAATGTGTCAAGAAAAGTAAACATCCTAAACTAAACTTGACATTTTAGTGCTTTAAGCCATCACAGACTATTTCAGTAAATTAAAAAAAACAACATCGCATCTCGTATCGTGTGAACTGTTGAAAGAGACATACCTATCACTGAACAGTTACATTACCAGTAGACTGGCGTTGTGTGAATGATAATGTGAATTAACACATTGTTAGAACGGTAAGCCAAATGTGTTACCAAATAAAATTCTCATTAACAGAATCCGACCTGCTCGAGCTGTACTGCACGATTTATTTAGAACTATACGTGAATTAACACCTCCTCTAGGCTTAACACATCAACGTTTTGGAATAGCTGCACACTATTATAAATGTTCCAAGTAGAAACAGTTAATACAACCTGGGGAAAGAAATGTTTGTACCAATGAATGTTTTGTCGTAAATCATTTCATTTACACTAACTACATTTAATCTAATAGCACTACATAGGAGTATGATCGAACGTAATAGTTTTTATTGTGGCATTTATTAACATCGTTTCCGTTTAGGAAAAACGGAAAAGTTCGCAAAATTCAATGTCAAATGACTGCATTGTGGGATACACCACTGTTAGGGAAACTGTCATTAAAGTTTGAAGTGTTTTAATATTGATTTTTGTGATTTAGCTAAAAACAACCAAAACGTTACGCGTCCCCAAGACAAACGGTGAGGTCCTATCTACTCAATTAGGTTTACACGTGTCTTCCTGCATAACAATAACTTTCCAAACATTAAAATTTAAAGGGACTTACATGGGGGTGGGGGTGCAGATTGTTAGCCTGTGATGAGGTTTCTACAAACCTCTTGGACAAGCATCATGCACCACTTGCCCTATCAATATAATGTATGACAAAGAAACTCCATAACCGGTTACACTGAAATCTGATACACGAGGTACTGTTGTTTTCCTGTGTGTAGGACTAGTACTATATATAATGTACAATGCAATACGTAACCGCTGTCAGTATTGGTCTTTTACAGGAATTCTAATTAATGATAAGAAACTATATATAAGTTAGTTGTGGGCGTGCACGGGTAGCCCTTTCATGCCGGACTATGAACGCACGGCTATAGGCTGTAATGCTCTAAAAAAAATAGGACCTAGTGGAACTCCGGACTTTGCTTTGCTGCCTGTTAATGTAAATCTGTGAAATAATCCATTTATCATTCCTTTATTCAATTCTTTGAAAACACACTTTAAAAATAATCAACAATATCTGTCAAAGCCAAACTAGCAAGCAAGCACCCGACTCACAGTTACATTATATCGTCACTCTTTGTTTCAGTTTAGTGTACATCGGGGGTCCTGAGCTGTATTTTTATAGTCAGGTATGGCTCGCAGTTCCCTGATTATTTGCAGCTTTGATACCATGCCGCCCCCTTCAACACGGCAGGAGACGTTTGTTTTCAACGAACAAAGGAAGGGCACACACACCATTCCGAAAACAGAGCAAACGTACTTGTAAAAACATCCTCTTTTCCCTCCCAAAGACAGTAAACAAAGGATGAACCCCAATTTCCCCAGCTCGCTCACGGAGAGTGATGAGAGATGCCGCCGGTGGGCTGGTCCGCTCGACACCCGGATGTAGACGGCCGCTGTCTCCGCCGGGCTCGAGCGCTTTAGCCGGGATTCGCGTCTTTCCATTCGGCAGCATCAATTTGCAGTAATGAGGTTGTCTTTGCAGAAGGGAACAATGCCATCGTCTTAAAGTCAACGTTTCACAATTGGGTGGAAGCATGGAGGACGATTTGGTTTCGGAAGATGACATTTGTAAGTGTCAAGCCCGTGTTTATGTACAGTAGATGACTTTTGTTTGAATGTTTATATTATACCATTCCAAGCGTTTCCAAATGTTCTGGAAGTGGGTGATTCCCTCTACGTGCGAGCCTTCTCTGGTTTCCTATACACAGCAAATTATAAATCCATAGGTTTAGTGACTGTTAAAGTCGCGCTTTGGGGCTTTTATTTTCTATGCAAGAACCACAGATTTAATTACACGTTTGAATAACGGACTGCCCTTACGTAGCACCGGTAAACGAGAAAGAATAGCAAAACAATCAGAAAATAAATTTCCTAATAGACGAGCCATTTTTTTCTTGGAATAAATAGCTGCATAAAAGCTATTCTCAATATTTTCGCATGAGTGTGACATATTATCACTGGACTGGTATACATTATCACTTTTCTATTTAGCTTTCTCTTCCCTTATTTTCAAAGATTTACCTGCGAATTATTTTGTACATTAATGCTTACAGGATATTCATCAGGTACCACATGTTTCTCGTGTATTTTTTCAGATTATCATGCTTCTAAGGAAGTCTGGCAGATATGATGCGGGGATTAGATTACCGGGTTATGCAAACACAGTTAGATATGTAGCCTTAAAAGGAATAAAATGAAGACAACTCCAGAGATGCGTTGAGTCTAGTTTTCTGTAGCCCGTTGAAAGTTCCATTACAACAATCTTAAGGAGTCTTAAAGAAAGTGAAGTAACAAACTGCTGTTAACGTCGGTTTCTATTGTGGTTTACCGACTCGAGTGATCCCTAATAGCCTTGGTATTCTTTTATTCTGTGAGAAAGTGCTCTGACAGGTTTTATGGTGCTTCAGTATCATGTGATATTTCTGTTAGCCTTTTAAGTTGTATTTTGTCCTTTGCTCTATTTTTGTACTGGATTACATTCACAGTAGGTGAATGTGGTGTCCCTGAGCCTATTGTTGAACGAGGAGATGTCGGGTGAAAGGTGAAGTAAGGATGTTGGCAAGAGGCTGTTTATATGGTTTCCGTTAGAGGGAAAGTGTGAACAAGTATTTGAATATTGTGGTAAACTTAGAAGCAGAAATTATATCTCAAACTCAAAAGCGGTTACATTTAGGAGATGTTTTTAATCTTTTAGTAAAGAATAAATAACTTGCTTTCCTTCTTTTGTGAATCCACCTGAGTGTGCATTGTTTGAAAGGTTGTTTGTGGTTGAAGGATCAGGTTTGTTGACCTGTAATTTTCACATAATTAGTAGTTATTGAAACAGAATTTCTTTAGAGGTTGTGTGAGCACAGCAACCCCACAGCACACGGAGCTGATTTTTGGTGCTTTGTTGTGAAGTGCAAAAGTGAAAAAAATATTTCAATTTGTTTCTATAAGAAATAGAGCAGGGAACATCTTATGATATAATCATGTACAGTATATAATATATATCTGAAATTAAGAAACTTGTCTCTAGGTTTCAACATGTTTTTATGTTTTAGATATAATTCATAGGTCGGATTCTTGAGAGGGAGGAGGAAGGGCCCCACTCTATCATTGTCTTCCTGGACTAAAACGTCTATTGTACAATGTGTATATAGATCAATAACGTGTATTGACTTTATGTGGAGTGTTATTTGTTTAACATAGTTTTGTATGGTGATGCCAAAGACAAATCTCTAACCTTTTTGGATGCACAATAAGTAACATACAGTATATAAATAAAAAATATAAATATCTGAACTAGTCTTTCATGCTACAGTATATATGGGAAATAGTACTTTAGAGCTAAATGTGCAATAATATAAATTCTGATTTAAATGCAAGCCGATTGTTTAAGTGGATTGAAAATGAGTTCTGGACACAAAGTCAAAATAAACTGTGAGTTGCAGACTTGAAAGCTGGGGCAGATCCCTCTTAGTGGACTACCTTTCCATGTTTCTAGTGTTATGGCAATAAGACCTGGTGATGATATTATATGATCGTACATATTGTGTGGATCAAAAAGCAAAATGTGTTTTAAGTCCAGTGAAGAAATATATGAAATAGATAAACTTAGTGAATATAATAGATATATAGAATATAATAGAGAAATAGTGAAACTTGGATAACATTGCGCATCTGGAAAACGCAATTCAATAACACAAATAATGAATTCTAACAAGTAATTCTTGGAGCTGATGGATTTGGACTGACTTCTCAGTGCTGCGCTCGGAGAAGGAATTCCATGATGCAGCGAAAAGGAACGACACGGATAGGATGCAGGAGCTGATAAGAAGAGGGGTGGACGTCAAAGCCAAAAACAACGTAAGTGTCTACTTTTAGAAGGACACCCATCAGTCTTCTGAGAGCACTGCTGTGCTGTTTCATGCCTCTGGGTCTTATTCTTTGTGAAGTTCCCTTTGTTTCTTGTGCATTTGCCATTAGAATTATTGTTCACAGTGGGTGGAACTGTGTTACACTGAAGAGAGTGGGGCATTGCAAGAAATCGTTTATGGGAAGACATCCTACTGTAAGCTACTAAAGAAACCAAAGCAGCACCCTCTTATTAATAAGAGTATCGTAAGTCACCAAGGGCAGCACAGTGGCGCAGTAGTTAGCATTGCTGCCTCTCTGCACTGGGGCCCAGAACCTGGGGTTCTATGCTTGACATTCAATCCACATGTGCAGCATATGGTCAAAACAACTTTCTTTCACCTCAGAAATATTGCTAGACTATGTCCTGTGTTATCACTAACTGTGTCTGAAAAGCTGATCAACACATTTGTCTTCTCCCGAATCGACTACTGTAATGCTCTACCTGCTGGGGTTTCTAAATCCACATTGAACAAACTCCAGTATGTCCAAGATTCGGCAGCCAGGATCCTGACCAGGTCTAGTGCAGGTCACATTACTCCTATCCTGGATTCCTTGCACTGGCTTCCTCTCACGTTTCGTGTCGACTTCTTCTTCTTCTCATCTGTGTGGAGTTTGTATGTTTTCCCTGTGTTTGCATGGGTTTCCTCCAGGTGCTCCAGTTTTCTCCCATCTTCCAAAGACATACTGGTTGGTTAATTGGCTTTCTGGGAAAATTGGCCCTGGAGTGAGTGTGTGTTTGTTTGAACTGTGCGCCCTGTGATGAACACATCCAGGCTGTGTGCTGCCTTGCACCCATCGCTTGTCACGATATGTTCCAGCTCCCCCCGTGACCCTGCATTCAGTGAAGTGGCTAGAAAGTGGATGGATAAGTCTTCCGTGTAGAATGATATCCTAGTTTTGTGAACGACCATTAGAAAACTCAGCGCTGCATTTTGTACTTATTCAATTCTGTATCGGATGGAATAAGGGATGAAAATCAAATGTGATGGGGATGGGTCTCCAATTACATCAGAAAGAAGCTTAGGCTTCAGGAAACAATAGCTCCTATACAATTATTCTTCTGCAAATTACCAGCCCTGCACAGCTCAGCAGAGAAGCAATAACATTAGAGGCAGCAATGAAAGATATTAATATAGCAGTACAGTAAACAGCAAAGCTGTTATGTAACCTCAGAGTAACCGGAAATAAGATTTCTTTAATGTTTTACAGTGTTTCAAGAACATGTAAGTCCATCCTTAGACCCATTAAAACAACCTGTTCTTGTCTCCCGCAACAATAATTGTTTAGGGCTCACAGCTGATTAAAAAAGAGCTGAGAAAGATTATTGCATTGTGTTAGAAAACAAAATCATTTTGCCGAGCGCTTTCAAAGTGATGGTTGAAATTCACGCGTCTGGGTTTTCAACACCTCTTGAACTCATTGAGTGCCGCCTCAGCTGGCGCTGATAAACATGGGAGTGTGAACAGAAGAACAATAGCAGGTGACCTCACAGGCTTGCATGCACAGGAAGCATGTACACTGCTGAGCCCTGCATTGTTCGCAAACAAGTATGGTGTTAATTGTCGTACAAGAAGATTGTTCATGCAGCATATGTTGCCCATGCAGGTAAAGCCCTTTATAAAGCAAGCTGCAGAGAGCTGGTGAAACAAAGAGGGTACACAAACAAAACTGTTAGTCCTGAAGGCTTTGTGTGCCCTGCTCGGGTAGACACATCTTACTTAAGTGTGCACAAGCAGATTAGAGGAAACAGGCAGCTGACACCCTCTAACTCATCTGAGCACTAGAAGCACTGCAGTTAGTTTGTTTGAATAAATTATACAGCAGGGCAAAAGGGATATGCTGTCGTGGAACCAGCAGGATGTGACCTAAATTTCACATTATCTGACTGAGTACCCTCATTTGGGCGATTGAGTTCAAGGATCGGTGTCTCCTATGACAAGGCTTGTGATTGTGAACCACTGTTCTTTCATCTTTCTTGACTGCGGTGTGAAGCAGCCCATACCACTCACCTCTCCTTTTTCCGCAGTTCTTACTTGTTCAAACCTGACAGGTTGTTTTTTACATTTCTTTCCTGTAAATGGGTTTGCCTTCTTCATTTCATATAATAGTGTAAGATCTGCCCACAACAGGGATGTGGGCTACTGTGACACTGGTTGCTTGATTCTTCAAACCTAGAAACGGGTTAAGTCCCACCTTATCCGAGTCAGAATTACATGAGCAAGGAGAACTTACTGTCTTGTGGAGCTCTATGTAAAACAAGCAGGGGATGTGTAGAAACCTTGAGTCCTGAGTTTCAATGCCAGTATTTATAAGCTACTACCTTAAGGTTATATGTGTAAAAACAAGTACAAACACATCTTTGGGAAAAATAAGCTGTGAATTGCTGCCTGGTATGCATTTATGTCAGCTAAAAAGACATTTGATTTTTACCACAAACCAAATGCATTTGTTATGCTATTGAGTAAATGTGAAATTCAGTTCTAGTTTTTTAAAGAAATGTTTTTCTTTTCTTTTTTGCTCCCTTCTCTCTCCCCCTTCTCTTTCCGTTCCTATTTCACTCTCCTCGCCCCTCCATTCCTCCTCCCTTCCTCCCCCTCTCTCTCTCCAGATAGACAGGAAGGCCCTGCACTGGGCGGCAGGAGCAGGACATGAGCAAGCCCTGCGTCTGCTGCTGCAGCATGATGCAGCAGTGGATGATGAAGACTGTGTAGGTATCTGACCCACAACCTCAGGCGTCCAATATGAGAAATGTAGAACTAACTTTCAACAAGGGAATGGCAAATCAGTTCTTAAAAAGATACATTACTTCCTGTATAGGAAGCAGAGTTGCCTGGCAGATAGCCTAGTTGCCTAACAGCTGTTGGATCCTGACTTCGATTCCAGGCCGGCACAGTTCCGTTGTAGAGTGTGCATGCTCTCCCCATATCTGTGTGGATTTTCTCTGAATTGTGGCTCTGGTTTCCTGTCAATATCCAAAGACACGCTCATCAGATTCATTGGTGTTCCTAAATTGCCCCCCTCCCCCCCGTGTGAGTACGAGACCCTTGATGGACTGGTGTCTTGTTCCCTGTGCAGTCCAATCTTGCGCCTGTGCCTGCTTCACGTAATCCCTTACAGATAGAGTGGTTAATGAAGAAAGCATGGACAGACTGATGGATCATGGAAGATTATCATCTTCTTTTAGACCATTGTGGAATACAAGTCTCAACATCTGTTGGTTGAAAACTGATGTCCACTTACAAATCACACTTCACAGAGTTCTTGGGTGAACTCTGTTTACACTTTAAAGCTCCTGAAATATTGATAAACGTTGATGGCTTGTCTTATTCATCTCTTTAAGCTTTCTTTTTGGTCCTTTGCATTAATGCAGCAGCATCAATAGTTTTGAGAAAGATGTAAATTCTTTGTTATAGGCTAGAGAGCTGTGCGGCTTAACCTTGCTTTTTCTTCTTTTCAAGTATCCTCAACAAAATATTTTTGTTCCTTCTTCCTCGAGTATTTTCAATTGCTGTGAGGCTCAATTTAATATCCATCTATCTGTCTGAAAATCAGCAGCTTTGTAAAATTGTAAATTAACCTTCCAAGCTTCATTCTATTACTAATAGCAGTTTCCCCTTTGTGTTTGTTAGGCTTCAGCAGTTCAGTAAAATCTTTCTTAAGCAATTTTAAAGAGTTGGTCAGTGGTTTTAAACACTTTTAAACTAGTAGTAAATAAATTTACCTATTTTGTGTCTATGACTGCTCTCCCATAAGAAAGAGAAAAAGTTAAAGATTTGCAGGATTTATTTGTGGCCAGTATTACAGCCCAAGTCTCCTGTCCTGATGAATTCCCTGTTTTTATGTCTTTAGTCACAAGTTTTAAGGAAGGGCTCCAGATGCAAACAAATTAATTTTAGCTGTATTGAGTGATAACACAAATAGCGCTTTCAACTCAATCTGATTACAGTACGTATTGCTCTAGGTAAGGAACAGGTGGTTACATTTATAATATAATGGGCTTTTGTGCACACCTGTATTATAAACCAAAGACTGAAAACATACTGCAGCCATTGTAACCTATGGCCTACCATTTAACATGTGCAAAAACATAATTGACTACAGAACATCTGTTTGGCAGCATAAACAAAATAAACATGGAATTAAAGCATTTTCCAAATTAATGAACCCTACCAAATTTTACAGTCAAAATGATTTTTGTAGCTTTGAAATGTCAAAGTTTTCAATGTTTCAAGAGAGAACCAAGAAATAAAACATTTCTGTTTTTTTCCATTGCAATTGCCCCAGACAGCACAATGGCAAATATCTGAATAAAACCAAATTTTCTTGTTTATAATTCCTCCTGAATTTAGCAGTTACAATCTCAAAACTGAATACATTTTTACAAAATGAAAGAAGTGTTTTAATAACAACGTAAACAAGAAAATATTACCATTGCACTGTACTCCATCATGCAACATGTCAGAAACACTTGTGAATTTGAATAGTATTTGTAAAAAGAACCAGATTTCTTTGCCCAATAAAGCCAATTTGAAAATAATACAAATAGAATTTCAAATTAAAACCTCATGGGAACTTATAGAAAAGCTCATGAGAACTTATAATGAGCTTATAATTATTGTTCACTTTTACTTGGTAATTGAAAATGTCGTAGTTTGGGGGAGGTAGCTGCGGCTCTTTAGAAGCTGAGAAAGCTATGATAGAAAACACCGACATTTCTTCTAAGACCAAGATGAAGCTGTACACCAGCTATACTCTAACGGCTCTGCTATGCAACTTGGGAGTCTTGAGCACTTCTTCAGAAAGATGGACAGAACTTCCATCACCTTTGCCAAGCAGACTGACTGTGTGTCCAATAAACTGCTGCATCAGCTGACAAGGCAGTCTGGTCTTTAAGCTCTACTGCAAAGACGACTCAAGTGGTTGGGTTACATCTAAACGTGTGGGACAGTCAGCTGCCAGGAAGAGACACCGGCCATGACCATGTGCAAATTGCTGGGCTCTGATGCACCACACTTGTGCCAAGGGCTTGATGATAATGGAAACCAGACTAAACATAAACTGCACTGACTACTTCTGTTATGTTTGTGAGCAGAATCTAGGTTGTGGTTATACAGTAAGAAAGGAAAAAAGACTTTTCAATGCACAAGCATCTCAGGATTTTTCAGTGAAAATGAAGACCTAAGATCCTTCTCTGAAACATCTGTTTAATAATGTAGGGATGCAAGGAGTCACAGTGCAGTCCAGTGAATGTTTGAGATGAGCCTAATTGTAAATGAAAGTGGTCACTTCTGGAGAACACTGAAGGAGACACACACAAGGTGTATTTCTCACAGTGTCCCCAATTGCAAAAGTGTTACAGATGGTTTTAGTCTTAGTCTATCCACGTTATTACCATGAATCAAGGTTTAAGAGTCTGCATTCTACTTATGGTCCAGTGGATATTCTTGATTATGTTGTCCCGCCTTTCAGCTATTTCCGAGGTGTCAAGTTCAACAGCAGGTGCCTGTTCAAAATTCGCTCCAGCCTGGTCAGGAACAGTGACCCCAGGCCAGAGCCAGATTTCTACAATAACTTCTGATTTTTCCCCAGTTTGGTATGAACGCTCTGCTGCTGGCCTCCTGGTTTGGTCACCTAAAGATCCTTCAGATTCTTGTGAATGCAGGAGCGAAGATCAACTGTGAAAACAAAGTAAGACCCTTCTTACCGAGATGGCTTTAGAAGCTTGGTCACCTGCTCTCTCCTGGGCCTTGTCCCTGGTGATCAGATCTGTGCTAGTGCCCTTTGAGCATTTACTAGGTCGGTAGTATTGCTTCAGCAGGGGAGTACAAATTTTAGAATATCCTCCTCAAAAAAGCAATGGAATTGAAAATGTGTAGCTTCGCTTGTGTGGCAAGAGCAGAGGAACTAGGTACAGAGATACAGGTACAGCAGGGTAAGTTGATCGAAACATCTTGCTGGTTTTGATTGTGCCTCATGCTGTATTGCGCCTGACTTTTTATTAACTCCCCCAGAACGGATTGAACCTCCTGCACTGTGCTGCTCAGAGGGGCCACATAAAGGTGATGGAGTTCATCATGGAGGATCTAGAGGATGTGCGTGTTGATAAACTAGACAAGGTAAGGCTGATGCCATCTGGACCTTGATTTCATTGTGTAGCAGTAGTAGGGCATAAATATATTCCGTTCTTAAAAGGTACAAAAATGTTATTTCTGTGCTTTGTCTGCTGGGAGGATGGATAGTTGGTTAATTTAGCTGGACATTTTCCAACAGTGCTGATGAAGGCATTCAAAATGTAGAGGAAGAATAGTCTGTTCAGCCTGTGGAGCTTTAAAATGAGTTGCAAAATAATGAAATAATTAAAAGAAACACATGGTGTAAAAACTGAATATGAAGCCTGTTTTATTTCTGGAAACAGATACATTTACTTTTACCATACTTCTTAAACATTCTGAACACAAAGGAGTTTTGGAAGAATATATAAGTGAACTCAATTGTGTCCATTTGTGCCAATTAACATGAAGGACTCTGGTCTTCTGAAGAAAACTGAGAGGTGCTGTACAATGTCAGTGACTCTACACAGCGTAACCTCTAAATCATCTGCAAAGCCTTTGTGGTTAAAAAACCAAGCTTGATCAATATTCTCTTACAAGCTGCTCGCACATTTGTTTTCTCTCATCAGTACAGTTATGCATCAAGAAGGAGATCAGACTGGGCATCATAATGCTGTTTACAATAATACATTAGAAGGGTCTGTCGGCGATTGCTTGATATTCTTATTTCTTGTCACTAACCGAAAGATTAAAAGGTTAATCACTGGAAAATATTATTGATGTGAGCATTGAAACAAGCGCTCCTTACTTGAAGAAGATTAATTTACTTTATTACTGTGGATTGATTGCAATGTGCACACATCTGTGAAATGCTGTTTTGAATTAGATATTTTGTGTTCCAAGTAATGCTGTTTGTTATGGGATCCCTGTTATTTTTATTGATTTTTTGCATTCAAAACTCTTGCCACATCGATTAAGTTTATCTTGCATTCTTGGGTCGTAGCAAAGGCTTTCTGGTTTGCTGAAACACACTATATTGGGTTTACTGTAACAGAGAATTATCCGTGTGTTCTTCATATTTTTGCAGTGGCATATCTAATTGATTAATGTATGCCTGTCTGCATTTCTTCTACATTTCTTTAATAGTAATAAGTGCTTGCATTTGTACAGCACCTTTCATCCCAAAGGAATCCAAAGCACTTTATTAATAGCACTTTATGCAGCGCCCACATGGGTTACTTCTCAATCCTAAACCTGATCGAGCTGTGATAGCCCCACTACAGGCTGATCAGGTTTAGGAATTAAAGGTAAGTCACTGTTTGAATTAAGGCTGGGGTATTTAGGAAGGTCTGGATTTGCAAACTCCAAGTGTGAATTTAACCAGGACACCAGAACCTCAGTTCAATATCTTCATGAAGGATGGCTCTTGATACAGTCAGGATATTGAGGCGTTGACTTCGAAATTCTGGTCCACAGAGAAGAGTATCACCTACTGTTCTACCAGCACTATTTATGGCAGCAACCAGGTTTTTACTGGAGGTCTCCCATCCCAGTACTGACCATCCTTGCTTATGAGATCAGGCCACAAGGTGGTAAAAGTGTTGTCAAGCATTAGCCTCAGTAATACAGTTACAGTTTTTTATATCAGTAAGAAAGGACACATGTTTTAAAATTATGTACAGTATATACAGCAGTGTTTCAGATTATGTAAATATTATGTTTGCTCATACTGTATATTGAGATACACTAAATATCAATGTGGACAACATTCTCAGATGAAGATGGCAAGTATTTTTATATTTGCTTATAAAATTGTGATTGCAAGTTTTTATTGTCTATTTCAGACTTTAGAAAACAAGGGGCATAATGCGTTTTTTGGAAACTCATGGCTCTAGAAGGCCTGAATCAGTCATACTAACTTATTGCTCATTAGTTGTGTCAGAAGCTTCAATTAATTACGGATGCTCGGAGCAGTATGACACACTGCATGCTTATAATGAGACAAATTAGACAGACCTTTAATAGGTTTTCCTGTGCCTTGTCAGGCGCAGTCCAAAAACATCTGGGAAACTGGTAACTTTAGATGCAGCAGAAATGAAAGTATGTTCTGTTTTCCTCTAGTGCTTGTCAAGAGGAGTAGGACCCTGGCAGGGCCATTCAGTGGGGTAACGAGGTCGCACACAGCTGCAACTTGTCCCAGCCGTGTGGGAAGTGTGTTTCAGACAGTCTGTTCCCTAACGGCCGTGCGCTGTTATCGATTCCATGCTAATATGCCTGTTACCACAGGAATTATTATGCCATGTTTCTATACACATGTGCTACATTGTGCATTCTGTCTCGTGACACACTGAGGAGGCCAAGAGGAGAAAAGAATATAAGAAATAGATTAATTGGTAAAATGATGATAATTGTCAAAATTAAATAAACCTTCACTGAGCCCGACTTACAATTCAGAGTACATTAGAATAAAGACACTTGGCTGAGTGGAAAGAAACATAACTAAATAACTTCACCCCGCTGAATGAATGGCTTTCCTCATGAATAATCACATTTGGGCTCCCAAGCCTTGAACAATAACCTTCGGTTACATGTGCCAACATATATTTAATCAGACTACTTGGAAAGTATGCATGATGATTCTGCACAAAATGGGTGCTGTTGAGAACTTTGAATCAGCCATTTATGCACATAACCAGAACAAAACAACACATTTTCCAAAAATTGACCATGAGCGTCTCCTGCGATCTAACTCTGTAATTATCACTCTCCACCTGTCCCTGCTTGAAATGTATCTGCATGTGTCATGGAGCTCCTTTGGAAAGTTCAGCTCTGGATGTGAAAGGGATTTCACGAATGTGAGGCTGATTTAGATTTTGGTCCGTGAAAATATAACTGAGAATTTGATTTAACTTTTATATGGGTTGTGTCAAAAACTCTAATCAAAGCAGCGAGCGCTCTGATGCAGTGGTCTGGGTCAATTCGGAGACACGTTTACAGTGCTTAGGAATCCTTAACCATGGTTGTGAACTTCTGTTGTGCCGGTTGTTTTCTGCAGGGAGTAGTGAGTTTGTATATGTGAAAGAGCGTGATACCTTCTCCTTGTCCTCACTTGGCCAAGGAGACAATGGCCTTCCTTTCCCTCTCAGCTGCGCCTGCAAGCCCTTGTTTCCTGCAGTTCACTTTACTGTGTGTTTCCCGTGTGTCCCCTGTGTGTCCCAGTCCGGCAGGACAGCGTTCCACCTGGCAGCAGAGCATGGGCAGCTGGAGGTGGTGTAGTTCCTGATTGGCTCTGGGTGTACACATGGCCTGAAAGACAAGGTAACACTGGGTGACCTCCATTATCTCCCAATCAGACAGGGATGGTTAGGGATAATAATAAATCAATTATTATACTGAATTACTGAGCCGAGAACAGTGCAGCCTCATTCCATCGTGAGTCACAGAGGGTGAGTCACAGGTGGTGAATTCTTCAAATCTGCTGCTCTTTCAGGAGCATGGCATGGAGCAGTGTCATCTTAATGACACCCTAGCCCAGCCCTGACAGAAAAGTGTATTTCTTCGGGCAGCCTTCATGGGCATGATGGCATGGGGATCAGAGGGAGCCCAGAGCTGAAGACTGACTCTTCTGATGCACTGGGATTAAATTCATCCTCCCTTCTGGCTTGATGAAGAGATACTTCACTCTTTAAAAGCCCAGGGATCCCACAACACACACTTAGAAATATTACAAATCTGTACAGACCTTGTTCATCAGTTAGTGACCACCATAATTAGTTTACCCCGAGTTTTCTTCCTTAGAAAGAAATATTTTGATTTAATTAGTACTTGACATTCCTGAAAGTTATACAGTACAACCATGTTGGTAGGATGGGCTTGACTTACTGGTCCTGCTTTCAGCTTTCAGCTGCAATTTTATGCAACTATTGAGTGTTGTTTATTTGTGGGCCATACGATTGTGTAGATTATTGATCCTGACAGAAGAATTACGACCTCTCTGTAATGTTTATGTCTGAGGCGCATTAGTTTCAACCTGTTATTTTAAGATTTAACGCCCATTGTTGAGGCTGTTGTTTCTTCCACAATCTGTTACAGAGGGTAAAACTGTTTTCCACTTGCTTAAGACAGCTGACATTATTTTTATTTGACAGTAAGCAAATAAAACATTCTCCAGGAGCTTTATTTTCTGAAGTATGTTGTGGTTTAAGTCACATGCTTTAATGAACAGCTGTGTGAAAGCTATTGTTTTGAGATTCCTGGATGACGGCCTAATAGATATTAGTGAACTGTGAAACCTGGGGATACAGAAAAAATGTTTTTCAGGATTTATTTTTTTTAAGGTTCCTTTAATTTACATTTTAGAGAAAAAACACCAGAATTCGGGAGTGGGGTGACCTGTAATACCTCATTTCGAAGGCTAAAATCTCCTGTTGTAGCAGAACTGGGAAGTCAGGGAATGGTGCTCGTTGGGTTGTTTCAGGGTCAGTGTAAACTGCTGCTTTTGCATGAGGTCCCACAGGCAGTGCCACTGTGGTCCTGGAGTTCTGATGGGCTGGGGACATAGAACAAGAGTCTCGCCCCTTCCAGCAGCCGTGATTGATGTACATAGGGTTTAGGCCTCCTGGCAAATGGTCTCCAGCTTAGCAGTCACACGGGATTCGACCCGTTGGGGTAACAGAAGGTAACTGAAGGTTAGCTGGTTAGGTCAGGCCACAGGCTCGAGCATTGACAGGGGTCTTTTCAAACTGGGGAAACAGAGCAGGTTGATAGGTGAAAATCAGACTGCATCTCGACACGTGGAACCCAGGAACCAGGTAAGAAAGTCGGCACCTAATTTGTCCAATGTCGATTTGATGCAGGAGCAAAACACAGCACTGCATTTAGCGGCCAAGAACGGATATTCCAAGGTCCTGCAGAAGATCGTGGAAACAGGAGTGGACGTGGACGAGAAGAACATTGTGAGTGGGGAATCCAGTTTTGACATCTTCCCGCTCACGCGTAGGGCAGTCACACCCATGAGCGTGAAGAAATGTGACAAGCGAAAGGAGGCCTTTCAGCCCATCTGCATCACTTGTCTGTCAGTAGCTCACTGAGCTGAAGATGCCACCCAGCTGTCTCTTGAAGGAAGCCCAGATATTGGCTTTCAATCAGTGTTTAAACATGCGCCTCTGTAATGATTCCTGAGCGACAGCCTCTTTTTTTAAATGAGGTGACCAAACTTGTACACATCACCCTCCCTCATTTATTACAGAAAACTGCCCCTGTCGAGGACCATTAAGGTTTCGAAAGAGTTTTTTTTTTTTATTTTCAGCACGTAATGTTCCGCCATTAGCTTTAAAATATGATGCCCCGGAGGTGAAATTTAAAAGCACTATGAAATTCATTTAGAAAAAAAGATCTTGCATAACCTCAGAAAGTCCTCCGCTATTTCATTTTAAGAGAGAGAAACAGAATGATGATAAGTTTCCCACAGACGTCTAATACACTTGTTAATGTGACTGAACAGAAGTTGAAATTGAGGACATCTCAGTGAGAAAGCCTTGAGTGTCATAGCTCTGGGACCATTCTGTAGGCAGGTGATTATAGTACCTAAATGGGTTATTATCTTGTAAAATGCAGTAATTTTATACTCTTTGTGCAATTACTTGTAAATTGCTGACAGAACAGATGTTACTGTACCATTTACATGGTAAGTAAGAAACATGTGCCCAGTTGTCGTTATATAATTCTGGGGTCTCTCTCCTCCAGGAAGGTCTGACAGCCCTGCATTTTTCCGCTGAAGGAGGGCACTATGAATGTGTGAAACTGCTGTTGGAATCAGGCTGTGACATTAATGCTCAGACATATGTAAGTTGTGGTTTCTGAAATGTTTCTTTTGGAGTTTTTTTTTCCTGTTAGAGAAAGCTGATATGTCTTTTTCAGGCAGTGTTATAGTCTGCAGTCAAAGTGAGGACATTGCTGGAGTCTTCTACGTAACAAGCTGCTCTCTTTTTGACACTTGAATTTGAACATGATGACAATGATGCCAAAGTGACCACCCATCCATTTTCTAACCACTTCTTCCAGTTCGGGGTTAATATGGGAGCTGGAGCCTATCCCAGCAAGAAACACTGATATAAGGCAACTTACATAGCCTTTCCAGGGCAAATACAGACATGCACACACTCAACTCGGGGATAATTTTCTACTATCAACCTATCAGTATGCTTTTTGGGACTGTGGTAGGAAACTGGAGCACCTGGTGGAAACCTATATGAACTGAACTAAGGGCCCAACTGCAACACTTTGCTGCCCAAAATCAAAACCAATTGGTTTCAAATGAAATATTTCTGAGACATCTAGGCTGTGCATTAATGTGTGCAGGGCCACCCTCCCTGTAGCATTTTAACCTTTACATTGCAGTGTTTGTAAATGTCATCGCTTTGGGTCTGGTGGATATACAGCTACAGTACTTTTGCAATTTGGAACATGTTTCTGCAGGTCAGCCATTAACAGGTCAACACAGGGGTCTTCTTTTTAGACGACAGCCTGCAATACTGCATTGAGAAAGACCCGCCTACTAAAATGTTTGTCTTTTTTTGCCCTAACCCCTGCAGAAGAACATGAGTGCTCTCCATTATGTAGCACTGCATGGTTATGAGAATGTAGTGCGACTGCTGCTGGAAGGGGGGATTAATATGGATGCCGTGAACAATGTAAGTGCTGTTTTTGCCTCATCTAAATCAAGAGAGGAATGAAACATTGAACATTTATTAATGTGAACCCTAGGTTTCTGCAGCAAGTAATGGATGGGCTTTTTAAATGGAGGCATCTGTCATATGGCTGAGGACAGCAGGTGTAGCTCCAAGCTGGAAAACCCATCCGTCTTCATTGCTGCGTAAATTGTCCCCAGACATGCTTGGGGTTGGCCATTGTGGTATTAGTGCCAAACAGAAAGGCACAGGTGCTGATCCCAATATCATACATGGTGCTGCAAATAAGTTATTTGAGATTTGATCACAGGAAAAAGAGGAAGTAAAAGAGATACTAGATCACCCACCCCAGCCCATCAGAAATAGTGAGAGAAAGTACAGATTAGGACAGAAAGTAACAGAGAAGTTACAGAATTATTGAACATCTACAGATCTGGGTAACCAGGACACTCCCTGCCCTTGGAAATACTGCTCATGGAAGCAATACATATTAAAATATTATTAAACCCGTGCAATTTTAAATCTAGCATTGCTTGAAGGATATTAATGTGTTACTTGCTGCTTATAAATGGACTAATTGCCATTTTTAGAGGCCCGTAATGGTTTGTGAAATATTGAATGAAGATGAATGAGTTCTCCACAAAAGCTTTAGAGGTCAAAATGACCTGACTCTGCAGTGCTGATGTCCAGGATAACTACATGTCTGCGTGATGTTTTAATAGCAACATGCCACCCCTCTTCACATCGCCGTGCTCAGCAACTTCCCTGGGACAGTAAAACTGCTGATTGATGACAAGTGTGACCTTGACATTGCAGACAGTGTAAGCATTGCATTTCCTTCTCTTTTATTCCCATCCTATGTAAAATCCCATCCTTGTCTGTGCAGTAAGAATATTTCATAAAGGCGGTTCAGAACTATTATAAAATCAAACGTATTAATTAGTGTTCTGCTTTGAATTCTATCTACATAAATGCACTAAAAAGCACTATAGACTGTGCCATTTCCATTATAAACAAGTGCACTCATATACAGTACAGTTATAGACTTTAACATTACTCAGGGAATAGCTGTTTTGTTTTTATGGACCATTAGTGATTCTATATCGGCACAATTTGAGGCAGTTGTCTGAGTTACAAATCCCGTTGATTTAAGGTGCTGTGAAGGTCTTTGTTTCATATGTTCTCAGTGGTGAATGCAGATAGATTTTTCTTCATGGACAAATGACATCATTTTAAGACTCAGTTAATATTCCTGCGGGATGCTTGTTCTGGCCTAAGGAAAGCTATCCCTGCTCAACTAAGGAGCTGTGCTACAGTGAGGTCTCTCCTTAATCCCCATTGGTGCGGAAGCCCAGGTCCCCTGCTCCCGTTTCTCCCAGGGCAGAGAGAACCGGGAATCTCCTGTCCCCCGAAGCCCACTGGGCCTGGACTGCACCAGCGTGATGCTGGGACTGGCCTGATCTCTGGTCTGTTCACAGAGGCAGCAGACAGCCCTGCACATAGCTGCGGAACATGGGCGCCAGGACATTGCGGAGATGATCCTTATAGCCGGGGTCAATTTAAAACTGCTCGATAAGGTAATGAAAACAAGCATTTCTCAAGTGAAGAGATGTATTTACCCCTGACATAGGAGCATGCTCTCTGCATGTCCCATGAATGACCTATTTTTTACATGCTTGAAAGCACATATAACATCTAACAACACACTATCCTTGCCTCATTAAAAAAATTAAGCATACTTAATTCAATGCAGATAACAGTTAAACAGTTAACAGTTAAAGATGCCACAGACCACTATTTGTGTGGGAGTACAAGCTCATTGGAGTTAATAATGTGGAGGCGTGTGTGGTGTGGGGGGGGTCATGTGTGTATGTTGGTTGTGGTTTAATAGTGCCACCTACCGGCAAATGGTAAAATTGTATCTGCATTTCATGAGTAGTGTGCACTTTTACCCTTTCCAAAACAAAGGATAAATTCTTAATGATTGGATTTTAAAACCCGTTTTGCTTTCTTTGTTTAGCAAGGGAAGACATCCCTGGACGTTGCTGCAAGAGGCAACCATGTCAACTTGGTGGACATGATTATCAAGGCTGACAGATTTTACAAATGGGAAAACGTAAGAGCTACACAGGGCCGTGGTGCTGAAAGGAATGATTTCTTATTAGACAGCAAAAACAAAACTTGATCGTTAGAATGATATAGCGCTAATACAATTATCCGCTACAAGCAGATTTATAGATGTAATGCAGTAGCACTGGTGCAGTATTCCATTTTGAAAGATGGAATTTGGATGTAGACAAGTGATTTCAGAGATCTGTATTACAACAGTAAGAATGGGACAAATTGCGGGGGAAAAACCGATAGCTTTAATACTTTGAAAGGCAGTTGTTTAATCAGGGTCTTCTCTGCATTCCTTGCTTCACGAGACTTCTGTGACCTGCAGGACAATCTGAACAGCGACTCCAGCTCCTGGGTAGGGAAACACTTGTCCTTCAGGCAGGATCACAGGCTGGAGACGCAGCACATCCGCTCAGTCATCTGGAGACTCGCAACCAAGTACCTCAAGCCCGGCGAGTGGAAGAAACTGGCACATTACTGGAAGTTCACCGAGGCCCACATCAGGGCCATAGAGCAGCAGTGGACTGGTGAGCCACTCGGGCCTGTAGGGCTCTTCGGTATTTGTCAGGCCACAGCCCGTGGGGAATTCCTGTTTCAAACATTTTCTACCATAATAAACTTACAACTTCGTCTAGAAAAATATGGAAGAACCCCTGAAAAAAAAGAGTGAAAATGAATTTTTTTTGGAGTTTTTCAGCCATCTTAAAGTAACGTTCTGAACAATTTGACCATTTCCACATTGTGTTGTCCCCATTAGGAAATGCAGAAGACAGAAAAATTGGATAAATTCAACCACAGCAGCCCTGATGTAAATATTGTTCCCAACCTTAGTGTATCCCACCTACCTTTCCGCGTCTCCTTATAAGTTACAGTTTAATCTGTTCTTCCTGCTGTTGCCCGGGTTTAACTTCACCGGGGAAGAAGTATCAGCGGTCATTTCGATCTCATTATTACTAACGTCTCACCACGACATCAAATCTTTCATTCTAGGCGCCTTATCTCCAGGAGACTATACCGGATCTAACCTTACCCGATTGAACAACCTCTATTCTCTGTTAAACTCGTAGAGGACAAAAATCAGCTTGCGGACAGCTGAAGCCGATTTCTCTAAAAACTTCGTAAAACACGCTAAACTGTTTTTTCTGTCTCTGGAGTGTTCCTACGCCTCCCTCTAGTGGCCTAAATTAGTATTGATAGTCCACATCCAGGGACTCCGGTACGCCAAGGTAATAAATGTTATGTAAAGATATCATTAACAGAGAAGTGGTTCATTTTGTATAACAATGTTCAAGACGTGTTCCTGTATCTAAGGCTGCTACTAAGAATACTTTCTCATTATTCTCTGAAAGGCACAAAAAGCTACAAAGAGCACGGCCACCGCATGTTGCTCATCTGGCTCCATGGTGTGATCGTGGCAGGAGAGAATCCAATCAAAGGCTTGTACGAGGGCCTGGTGGGGATTGCCCGGAGAGACCTGGCAGGTGAGATTCCTGGATTCAGGATTTGCCTATACATTCTTTGCTCCAAAGAGCCCTTGGGCCAGTCTGTACTAAACACAGCCTTAAATGCTACCTGTTTTATGTTAGACACTCCCTCGGTTATTCCACTGCTGAGAGAGAACACAATGATCAAATGAAGGGGAAAGGTTATCGTTTTGTTTTACCTTTCCATTCATTCTCTCGTCTGTCTCGTATGCCCGTTGAATTGCTATTACATTACAAATGTAACTCGGCATAACACAGGCTTGGAAAGAAAATTGTGCTTTCCTAGGCAGAGATCCCTTACTGTAGGGTTCTTTTTTGAAGACAGAATTCTCCTCTTTATCTGAAAACTTCACATCACAGATCCTAATCATCAGCTGCCAGTATAGAGAGCACCAGGTACATTAACAGAAGAGGTGAGGTAGGGAGAATGAAAATGCTAGAAGTGATTTCCCAGACTTAAGTGAACAAGTTCAGCTCTGTCAGTGTTGCAATCCTGAGGCCTGATAAAACCATCCGTCTAATAATAAGTCACTATCTATGGATATGGATATCTCACTGTGAATTTTTTTGTGTATTACATTCTACAGAAAGCATCAGGAGGAAAGCTAATGCAGACACAAACTCCCCAAAGAAATGCATCACCATGTGAGACCTCATTCTCAGTCTTTTTGCTATTGGCAGAACCAGTACGTGAAGAGCAAGACGCTGGCTGTAGTGTTGGAAGCTCATTTGTATGTTTTAATGGGTGAAACCTGATACATCTTCCTACCTGCCGATGAAAGAGGCTGGCAGTGAGATCAGAGGCCGAGATTTTAGGGAACAGGACTTTCATATGGGGACCAGCAACCTACTCTCCATGCTTCGCCAGCTCATAAGGGCTATTTGTGTGCCTCTTAACAGGAACTGTGATCATTCCCTCTAAAGCCAAAAGTATGTTTTTTAAGAGTTCTCTCTCAGTGTTTATTTTCTACTGCATAGTACTCTGCTTGATCTCTAACCTCCTGAAAAGTTCACAAAGAGAATTCATTTCATTTCTTGTATTGGTGTTCGTAGTGCCAGTATGGGAACATACATTTCCATGCTGGATATAGCCCGTCTGCCATACAGTAGTTCCAGAGTCCCCATAAACAGTGTTAAAGAACATTTGCGCTTTGTTACATTTGTATAATTTGCATATATGATTGTGTGTATGTTTATTTTACTTAATTAGAATGCCAACGCATTCTATTCTGCAACCATTAAATCTCTAATGGATCCATGTTTTATTCAGATAATTATTGTACTCTGATTTTCTGTAAATTTTCATGTATAACTGGTCTACTAAACATTTCTACACTTGATATCTTTGTAAAAAAAATTAAACAGTACCCTGGAAGTTACAAAAGAAGAATGCTTTCCTTTCCAGAAGAATAAAAACAAATATATACTGTAACCTGCAGTGCATTTTAGGATACCTCAAATGTGGTGCATTGCATCCAATTAATATATTGACATTTTCTACTGTTTAAATCTGCAACAGAAGAGTTTACATTAGAAACCATTCATGGCGTACTGTTTGGGTAGGTCCCACAATCTCTTCTCTAACTTTCCAAAACTTTTCAAAGACAATGACATCAGTGTATCTGAATGCATCAACAGCAACAAGAAGTGACAGAAAGCAGTGAAGCTTATCAAGGGGGGAAGTGCTTTGCAGTGGTCCAGGGACCATGGCAAGAAAGAGAAAAATGTCAACAAAAACAGGTGTTGGGGAACATGTGACTGTTAGCTGGAACAGAACTGTATTTGTATTACCAAACAAAAGCTGCTGTTGGAATTTCAGCATCAGCTGAAGCATATTCAAAAACATCTTACATACCTGTTCAGGGAACCACTGTTTCATAACTCGAGAACAACAAGCCATTGTTATGCTCATCCAGTATAAAGAACTAATTAAACACTCATTAATGTGTGCAGGGCCACTCTTCCTGTTGCATTTTCACCCCTTACATTGCAGTGTTTGTAAATAATGGGGAATACTGTCATAATCCATCTCCACAGCAGGTGAAATATATCTTTTAACCCTTTGTAACTCAGGTACAAAGCCCCCCGCCACCCCAAAAAACACACTGTAGTAAATAAGTATGTTTTATTCCAACAGGTAATTAAAGCATTTTAACAAAAGGTTCTTCAATACATTTTTTCAACTTTATGTAGCTATTTTTGTCAGATCAGTGCATGATAATTCAGGTTTGGACTAACAAAACTGAAAAGATTGTTGATGTTAAAATATAAAAACTAAAAACTGACAACTCACCTATGAACTGGGGATAAGCAGTAAGTGCCACAGGAAAAAAAAGTAAGGCAATAAAGTACAGAAATAGGGTCAAATGAAGTTTTCTTAATTTAGAAAGCTGTGTAGCCAAGTTATATGTATTTACAGTAGCAATGATTTCTAAAAAATACCATTTTTCTTATCTGTAAAGTAAAAATAGGATCCTTAACTTAGTGCTGTTGCTGCTTGTTGATTGTACTCAACATCTAAAAAACCCCAGAATGCCATCGAGAAAAAATGCAAAACGGTTTCAGTCCTGGCATTTTTGAGTGCTAGAAATTCTCAGTCCACAGTGATCAGATCCTTTGTGGTTATCAATTCAATGCGGAAATGTACAGTTAATAGTTTATCCATTATACAAAGACAACCTGGAGACGATGCAGGCTCTTATTTCTCCTCGTCGCTGTCCTGGGTTTTCTGAACCTCCAGCTCCTCTGTACTGACCATGCTGGGATCAATCGCTGCATATCTTGTTCCGTGGAACTGGCGCAAATGAATCTGGGAAGCAAGCAGAAAGCTGTGAAGGAACGGGCAGCCACCAGGAAGAATGAATCAAAAAACATAAAACAACGCCATGGAGCAATGACATTTTCATGGTCGTAAATCAGAATACCTGTTCTGCAGGAGATCAAGTAAAATGTTGATTCCGATCAATTTTTGTGGATTTGGGAATGGATGAGATTAACAACCTTAACACAAATTTAGAAATGTAAAACTTGAACTTTTTAATGGTTTTATCACTTAATCAGAAGGGATTAATGTCAGACCCTTTGCTGGGTCATTTTAGCCATTTACTAAAAATCACTTTGTCTTAAGGGTAAAGAAAAAATATCCTTTTTGCACCTGGATAGGTGGGTGTACTATCAGTTCCTTTTTTACATGTGATTTCTAGGGTATTTCACTAAAAAAATTTTTCAAAAAAAGCATCAAAAGCTTGCAGTGTTGGTCAAGGGGTTTCTATTCCTCCCCCTGCTACAACATCACACAAAAATATCTTGATAGTTTTATCAGGAGTTGTTTATTGTTGCTTAAGACCTAATATTATTAAAATACTTTCCTTCTGGTTAAATATTTCTAGAGTTTTTGTAGCAACAGAATCAAAATGGATAAATGTGAAATATTTGCCATACAAAATTGTACAAGCTACCATATATAAATAATCATATCTGCACTGCTGTCCAGACGTCCTAGGCATTATACACTGTTTTGTTCATTTTACAGTTTTAGATTCCTCCTTTATTTTATTAGATATTAGAAAGATATCTTCAGTGGATGGTTGAAACTGTAGCCATTATGCTTTGAGCCAACAATGAAGAGATCTGCTATTTGTAGAGAATAGAGTATTTTCTTTATGAATGTGGAGAGAGGAGCAAAAGCACGAAGTACACCTGATTGGTAAACGTGATGGATAAGGTACTAAAGTATTACAACACTTTATTTTGACCACTCATGTATAGTTTACGCTGTGTTGTGGTCATGTTTTTGATCATTCTGATCAATATGAATCGAAGGTTTATAAATGATGAGCTTGGATTCTTCCCACCAAAATCAAAGCTGTTGAAATAGTAAAAAAAAACACTAATACAGCCTAAAGAAAACTGGTGATGCACATAAATTAATAGTACCTGCTCACTTTGTCTGAGATCTAAGATTTATTTCATAGTAGTGTGTATATACAGTATAATTCACATTAACAGTCTTTACAAGCAGATTTACAGCAAGGTAATGCAAAGTAGGGATGGTGTTCCTAGCTGCCTGCTATCCCTTACACAGAATATCAAGCACTCGCACCTGTATGTAAAGGTTGACTTCAGCACTTCTGCACAGGTATGGGAAGTTGCCGCCTGTTTTAAGGTGTGCTCGTCTGGCATTTGGATACAGCTTATACATTTCTTCTTTTGCTTCATGTGAAAGTGCACTCTGATCAAACACCTACATGCAAGACAGGTTTGGGGGGAAAAAAAGGATATTTCAATCACTCAGATTCAGAAAACTCACTCCTGTTAATAACTGTGTATTACCTGACAGGTACCCCGGCGTCCTGGCCAAATTTCCCCATCGGCCTTTATCAATCATGGCCTCCTAACAATCCCCCTCTATAAATTGGCTTAATTACTCTGCTCTCCTCCCCACTGATTGCTGACGTGTGGTGAGCGTTCTGGCGCACTATGGCTGCTGTCGCATCATCCAGGTGGATGCTGCACATTGGTGGTGGTGGAGGGGAGTCCCCATTGCCTGTAAAGCCCTTTGAGTGGAGTGTCCAGAAAAGCGCTATATAAATGTAAGCAATTATTATTATTATTATTATTATTATTATTACCCTGTGTAAAAAAAAGGCTCAGCATTAATTAAAGCAGTACCCAACACTATTATCACTCATTGCTTTAAGGCAGAAATGCAGGCTTACATCCATAATGGTCACTGCAACATCCTTTATTTTGTGAGGCTCCACGTAGGAATTCTGGCAGTTCAACGTCAGCCGAGCAGCCAGTTCGCTCTGACTCAAACTCTCCAGCTAAGCCACATGGAACAAAGCAGAAAACACAACAAATTCTGTAATCCAATAAGGCAGGAATGTTCAGCACATTTACATGATCTCTGTCTGGCACCCGAACAGACAGTTTACTTCGTTAAAATAATCTTTCCTTATGACCATTAAACAGACATGGTCTCCTGTTGGCACTGACGTCACATTTCTCAGAATTCGAGGGGCGAGATGGGGGAGTGAACAAGCTACAATAAAGTATCCCTGTTTCTTGAGTAAAAGGTCATTAATGTTATTTAGTATGTGAGTGCAATGTAAAAGCTGTACCAGAGATCTCTAGAAAGACTGAAGGATTTTGTTGCCGAGTGAGATAACGCGAGTAGAAATTGATGAATCACTAGGATAGTGTGGCATACAAAATGCTTTTCATAGAATTACTTCATCAGATCATTTGGAGGACTGATACTCCAGCAGTTGTAAAATAAAAATACATGAAGTATCCAAACTATTTATCTTACCCGATCAACCATGAAGTCAATTGCATGTGCCATTTTTGGGTCTACCGGACCTGTGGCAAAGTTCCCCAACACTATTTTCTTCAGCATAAAGGCAGGCATCAACCAGAAACTGAAATGCAAAATAAATAAATACGTTTTTTTTTTCTATCCCCTAGTATCCCTTTAAAAGCTAAGAAATGTTCAGTCAAAATACTGTCTCAGGTTTATTAAGTTCCATTATAGATGTAGCCATGCAGAGGCAGGCCAGCTGGCTGCTGTACCTGTTTGCTGTCCAGGTCTGGTTGAAGATGGAGGTGTCGCTGAAGGAGTTGCACAGAATGAGAGAATGTACTCGGGGGGATTTGTGTGTATATTCTGCAAACTTCTGAGCCAAGAAGCCCCCTAAAGAAGCTCCAAAGAGGTGAATCTTTAAAAAAAAAAAAGAATAAAATGGCCATCAACAATCAGAAGACCACCTTTAAACCAGTGCTGGATTTCCCATACCTATGACATTTTTAGGGCCTACTAAGGAGGGAAACACTAGTGACCAACAAAAAATGAGCTGAAACAACATGCTTGCTATCGACTCGGTGCTCCAAACCAATAATCCTTCTAGAAACTAGAAGTCGCTCGACTCGCTCCATCAATCACATGGTTTAGCGTTAGAATAGTTTGAAGTGCATCATGTCGATCGACGTCATTCAATTGGCTTTCACCCCTCTTTTTGCACATTTCGGAGTGAAAGTGCCTAGGGCCTAAGAACACCAAAATCCGGCCCTGCTTTAAACCACAACTGTCCTTACAAGGAAGGTTTCAAACCCATAACATATGATAAAATCATTTGTCAAAATGTGACAACAATTTCACCACTTCCCACCCACCACTTGCTCATTGTTAAAGCATGACAAATTCAATCTGATGTTTATTAAGCAATTACCAACCTTATCAAGCTGCAGGTGATCCAACAACTTACGGAATCCATCACAAAATTCCAGAAGATCCCAGTAGATGGGATACTGAAGCTTGAACACCAAAAAAAGGAGAATTAATTTTAACAAAATGTTATGTAGTCTCCTGGATAATGTTTGTGATGGTATATTCCAACTGGCCAAGAGCACTGTAGATCATCCATGTACTTGAAACAACAGCTTTGTGAAGTGGCAGCCATCTGTACCGCTGGGATTGTTCACTGGAAATGAACTGACAGTATGCAGATGCCTCACATACTGTATATTCAAGCCCTTGATTAACTGTAATAAAGCGGATTTAACAAATCAAAAACTGGATTTGTATTAATTTTAATATTGTTCCATTATACACATACACGTAACTGTTTATGACAGACATTTCTAAATGCACAATGTTCAGAACTCCTCCTATCAGAAGCTGGCCATTTCCTCCAGGTTGTGCAACTTGTTCTTTCTTCAGCTTGCACGTGTTCTACAAGAGATTACTATAACCAGTCAAGAGCAGTGGTGTCTTTGCTCTCTAAACCTCCTGGCTGTTGGGTTTTGTAATTTGTCCGTTTTTCATTTCTAACTAGGACACGAGGCCCACAGGAAACCAACCCTATAGCAGAGGACATCTTTTTCTATTATTCACAACTGCGATGATGTTGCATGTATTTTATTTATAGCAGTCACTACAGTTGAAGAGCTCGATAATACTTTAACTTGGATCCTCAAACAATCCCCTGACATCCCCCATGAAGAAGAGGTATGGCGTGCTTTGCTTCCATGTTCAGTCTCTTTTAATACCCAGTCACAGGGTATCAAATTTATTCGAGAAACTCCTGTTAACCTTCTGAGGCCTTGTGAAAACCACCAGATGACATAAAAACAGTGAACAATTTAAACTTACAGCATGGTTCTGAAGTAGGAAAACACTTATATATATATTATTGATGGAAAATATATATATAAT